AAACTACTGGAGGATGTGCTCCCACAAAATGTAGATGGAAACTAAGCAGAATACTGATGGGGAATCTGGGACAGAAGGAAGCAAGGGAATCGCAGAAGGAAATTCCACTTGGCAGCTGCATTCCAGACCTGAGCAGGAAGGTGGAGGGCTTGATGGGCTGGAGGAGTGGAATAGGGAGAGGTGGGGCTGAGCGATTGTTATGTTTAGTACCATTTGATTTTTTAAAACTACGTGTATAGATTTCTTTTCTTAAAAATTAAGAAATTAAAAACGATAAGAAACAAAAATCAAAACGAAGCTGGAAAGAGACCATTCTTTCGATTTCTGTCATGTTTGGGATTTGCTTCCATCCACAGCAACAGGACCTCAGTGTAAACTGACCACATTTGCTGACCCCTCCCCTGACATTCATCTGAGCCCTGGAGCAGCTCTCCGCTCAACCGTGTGCAGTGCCGGTGACATCACCTCAGGACCGAGGGCACCTGTTCAGAGGGAGGCGGCGAAAGTGACAAACAGGTGGAGGGAACGGTGTTAAGAGAAACATTTGTAAAAATTAACTTCCTCTGATTTGGAAGATGAAGAAGATTCAAGCCTAATAAATCATGAAGCTCATGGACAGCCGTGACATACGCACAGTCCCCAGACCCTGGAACAGCAGGACGAGAGAGTGAGCCCTGAACGTGTTACACAAGAAGTTACACATGATGAAACTGTAAGTATATGTCCACACACTTTAAAGACACAGCCATGCCTTGGACGTCCACATCAAAGAGAACCCCTGTGGTCTTGTGTGACGTGGCCACGTCTTTCTGTTAGAGACGATTTCTGTCATGGCCTGTCTTTCCATTACAATCAGGGGCTGGGCGCCCCCTCATTGAAGTAAGCTGTGTTTGAAAAGATAGTAACACTCTCTTCATTTCTCGAGCACTTCACTCTGCACCAAGAATTTTATAAACGTAATCTCTTTACCTTCCCATAAGAACACCTGAGACAAGTATCATCATTTCACAGATGAGGAAACTGGGCTACAGAAAGATTAGGAAGCTCATCCAAAGTCACAAGC